TGCCAAGCGGACCCTGACGTGGCAGCCATGACTTTGGTAAAACTAGAGAATTGGAGCGGGAACTAAAGCAAAGGCATCAAAATTGAAACGAGGAAGGACCTAATGATGAGAACTCTATGAAAGAGGATAACTACTCAGAATAGCGAAATCTCCAAAAAGGCGAAGACAACCCTATATATGGGAAAAGAGGCGATCACATGTCTGTCTCAAAGGCCGATTAAAAATATTGGCTAAAGCTTTTATCGCTTTGGAAAGATATGTCGGCGGAATCACCTCGATCATTTTGTAACCGTATCATACACTCGGCGCAGCCATATGACATTTCGGGGTTGAAGACCCCACATCAACCAAGTCCCGAGATGGTACCCGATCTAAAGGACCTCCATAAAAAAGAAGTTAGGCTCCCGGAAGCCATTGGCATCATTGCGAGTCCCGAGATGGTACTTGATCTCGAGGACCTCCATCAAGAAGAAGATAGACTCCAGGAAGCCATTAACATCATTGCAAGTCCCGAGATGGTACCCGATCTCGAGGACCTCCATCAAGAAGAAGATAGACTCCAGGAAGCCATTAACATCATTGCAAGTCCCGAGATGGTACCCGATCTCGAGGACCTCCATCAAAATAAGTTAGGCTCCAGAAAGCCATTGGCATCATTGCAAGTCCCGATATGGTACCCGATCTCGAGGACCTCCATCGAAAATAAAACAAGCTCTAAGAAGCCAATGCAATCACTATACGTCCCGAGATGGTACTAGATCTCTAGGATCTCCACCGAGAAGATGATATGCTCTAAGGGGCCATTAATATCATTATGATACTCGAGATGGTACCCGATCTCGAGGACCTCCATCGAAAATAAAACAAGCTCTAAGAAGCCAATGCAATCACTATACGTCCCGAGATGGTACTAGATCTCTAGGATCTCCACCGAGAAGATGATATGCTCTAAGGGGCCATTAATATCATTATGATACTCGAGATGGTACCCGATCTTGAGGGCTTCTCTCAAAAAGAAGATAAGCGCTAAAACTCTACACATGGGCTTGGCCTCAAGTTACCATCTAAACCTGGTAAGCCCTTATCCGGGATCTATCTGCAATGCCTTAAGGCTATCTACACTGAGTTCAAAACAAGTCTCTAGGTAGCCCGAGCTTGAGCAAACCCCCACTCGGGGACTTCTCCCGAAAGCCTAAAGGCTATCTTTATTCTTAGGCGTCCGAGAAAATCCCCCCATCGAAGACTATCGCGAGGCCTAAAAGGCTACGTCTTATACTTAAAGTTTGAAATCCTACTCTTATCCAACTCGAAGTCGGGGATCCCGGCGACCCGAGTTATCAAACCCATTCGGGCTCGGTCCAAGGTACGACAAAGGGTCCTGCGGGGAATCATATTAATCAATCAAGGGCCGGAAGAAATACTTGCACTTAGGTTCGATATTAACACCAATCAGGGGAGGTGAGCAGCGGTGTAAAGTCCATACACCCTCCTGAGCAGCGGTGTAGAGTCCAAACATTTTCCTGAGTCGGAAAAAATTGGCCCCTCTACCTCGTTGTCTCGAGCCGACAACAACAACAAGAGGTTAGTGTAATATTGCTCGGTAAGGGAAAGCCCTGGAAAAAGGCCATGGCACGACTAATGAGAACGCCGTCATGTAACCTTAAGACCGCGAGCCCCAAATATGGAAAGTAACAATGGATGAGGATAAAGAGAAGAAAGAGGTGAAAGGCTATTGGAGAATATTTGAATGAAGGATCGGTTCCAGGAGGCTCCCATTTATAGAAAGGGTGTCAGCGTAATCGCCGATGCCGCTATTATCTTTAAAAGACGTATCGACAGGTGCAATCAATGCGTCCTTGGGAGCTGGACCGGCAGCGACACTATTGCTTTGAAGAATAAGAAACGGTAGTGCTTTGAATGATTCTGGAAAGATGAACTGACGGGACACCCCGGTTGTCACAAAGGCTCATGTCATAAGTATGACATCACCGCGGGAAGTCCGAAGAGATGGATATCAAAGTCATTTCTTATCATTCTACTCTAAGAAATGCGGAGACTATCTGTATACGGTAAAATCGGAGGGTCTAATTTTCCGTCGTTACGATGCCTCGCAAGCATGTTTCGAAGGCTCGAGACCACGGTCGAGTTTCATCCCTCGAGGGCCATCGACGCTCGACCTTGGAGCAGTACAGACCTACGATTACGTAAAAAAAGTAGGGAGTTCCCAAGGCGCATAACCAGAGCTGACAAAGTCTAGTGAGCTAAGTTCAGACCCGAATCAGGGTGTCAACTAGCTGTCCCATCCCCATATCTTTATAATAAATGCACTTGTACTATGTTGGGATTCCCCCTCATATATAAAGGGGATCCTTGTCATTTTGTAGACATATGTTGCTCAATACTAAATACTTAAGAACATTTTCTCTACTCTCTAACACATTTTCCCGACCTCTTTACTTGCATTTATTATTCATATTCATTGTGTCTATTTATTGTTCTTCATTTATTGCTTATTATTGGCCATAAAGAGTCGTCATTGATTTATTTATAACTGTTAGTCTATATCGTCTACCCTTGGCAGGGCATTAGACTCGACCCTGAGGCTCCGAATAAGCAAGCTCGAGGCTCCGATCGATAGCCATTCGGTTTGGTTAACATCTTGTTTTAAGCTCACCCAAGAGAGAAAGTTTTAAGTACCTAGGGTCTATTATCCAGGGAGATGGGGAGATCGACGGGGATGTCACGCACCGTATTGGGGTGGGGTGGATGAAATGGCGGTTAGCATCTGGAGTCATGTGTGACAAGAGGGTACCATTGAAACTTAAAGGTAAGTTCTACAGAGCGGTGGTTAGGCCGTCTATGTTATATGGGGCTGAATGTTGGCCAGTTAAGAATTCACATATCCAGAAGATGAAAGTAGCCAAGATGAGGATGTTGAGATGGATGTGCAGTCATACTAAACTGGATGAGATAAGGAATGAGGTTATTAGGGAGAAGGTGGGCGTTGCTTCCGTGGACGACAAGATGCGGGAAGCAAGGCTTAGGTGGTTTGGACACGTGCGGAGGAGAACCATAGATTCCCCAGTTAGGAGGTGCGGGCAGTTGGCTTTGGCAGGTACGAAAAGAGGTAGAGGGCGGCCTAAGAAGAATTGGGGCGAGGTGATCAGGCAAGACATGACGCGACTCGAGATTTCCGAGGACATGACTCTTGATAGGAAAGCGTGGAGGTCGAGCATTAGGGTTGTAAGCTAGGGGATAGTTCATAGTTTTCCCCTCTTTGTACCGGATAGTCTGATAGAGTTTTGCCTATGTCTAGTATCGGTATATGTTATATTCACACTATTTTGTTATTATGCATATGATTTTATTATTGCACTCCCTTTCACTTATTTGGTCTATTTTAAGATATTATTATCACTTCTCTTGCTTTTTTTGTTGTTACCTATCTCTTCTTTCGTTTCTTTTCTGAAATTATTATCTCTTCTGTTGAGCCGAGGGTCTCCCGGAAACAGCTTCTCTACCCTTCCGGGGTCGGGGTAAGGTCTGCATACATCCTACCCTCCCCAGATCCCACTAGTGGGATTTTACTGGGTATGTTGTTGTTGCTGATCTTGATTCCAAGTACCTCACTTATCATGTATTGCCCTAACAACTAGCATAAAAATAGATCACGTATTTTTAGAACCATAAAATCAAATTTAATTGTTATTAGCATTTTTTACGGTAAACACAGTTAAAAAATGTTTACACGTGCACGCACAATGTTTAAGCATAAAATATTCGAACGAAATATTATTACATTGAGTTTGTAAAAAAGTGTATAAATGGTGATTCGTAATGTAACTAAAAGAAATAAAGAAGTTCGTTTTTGCTGACTAAAAATGCATTTTATTGAAAATAGTAAAGAAAATTAAACTAGTTCAGTACAAATAGGAACTATTAATATATTCAAGAAAATAAATTCACCAGCCAAATTCATCATTGTTAGTTGTTACTAATGTAAGCTCCAAAATGCCGGGATGTAAGCTCTATTTTCCTAGTAACTAAATTAAAGTCAGCAAATTCAAATTAAATTAAGATGTACTATCATATGAGATATATTAACTAGGTAAAAAAGTATTAAGAAAAAATCGTTTGAGACAGACAGCTTTACCTAACGATGCATTATTCTCAATAAAAGAAATTCTCTCTCATAATCGACTCGAGAGAATGTTTCAAGATTAGCACGAGTCTAGATGAGTTCTGATATTGTCTTCCGAAACATTGATTAGACATGATGTTAACATGAAAAAGAATAATATCCACCCAATATATTTTATACTTATTACGACGAAATTGCGTGGGACATAGCATATGGGTATAGTGTTACTTACATTCACTTGTTGGGAGGATAGCAATGGAATAGCAACTATTCCTATATTCTTAACTAGGTTTTCGGTTAAAAAAATTGGCTTTGTTAGTGAATGTTTTACCCTTCAATATTAGATTTTTCGGCATAAATCATATTTATGGTCTTTTTGGCCAAGTTTTTTTTTTGCTAAAATTCTTTTTTTTTTTCTGTAAAAATATTTGTTTTCAAAGTTAAGTTATGTCAAGCTATTAAAAGGAAAAAGAAAAATTTAGTGGAGACAAAAGCAGTTTTTGAAAAACAAAAAAAGTATCTTCTTTAGAAAAGTACTTCTTTGATTGCCTATTGTTGCTCAAAAGTGCACTTCTTTGGCTAAATAGTGATTACTTCTCAAAATATTTTTTCAAATTAATTAATCAAACAAACTGTATTTAACAAAAATACTTTTCAAAATATGCTGATTTTAAAAACTTGGCCGATACGGATGCGGACATACGATTAAAAATAATTACTTGTTGGGGACCGTAGGTTACAAGTGGAAAGTGGGACCCATATTTGGTTCTTGACTCGACCAATACAAGTTAGGACGGACCACACTCTCTCTCAACAGCCTATAAGTACCTCTAATTGGAGTTGCACTTACCCCATTCAAACTTCTCTCTTCAATATATTCTCTGCACAAAACCAACAACAAAATCAAAGTTCTCTCTCTTTTTGTATACCAAGAATAATTCCTATACAGACACCCTTTTAGTTTCTTGATTTTCATCACCACTATTTAAGTAAAAGATGAAGATGAGCAGCAGTAATTTGGGAAGTTCAAAGAGGAAGCTAATTTCAAGCAGAGGACTCGGAGGAGTTCTTAGGCAGCAAAGAGCAAGGCTTTACATAATCAAGAGATGTGTGGTCATGCTCCTTTGTTGGCATGATTGAATTTACAATACTCCAAATTAAATTAGTTAAATTCCAGATAACCCTTCAACAAAGTTGAGTTATGGGTTTGTCCATAGTCTTTTTATTCTTGTTTTTCCCCCCACTTCTTGGAATTGTACAGAGCAGTAGTCTATATTAGGCAGTAGTAAAAAGGCTTTTAGCAATTTTGTACTAAATTTATGCCTAGTGGTCTCTTGCATACACCAGATAGCTTCAATCAAAGACAATATCCATTTTGATTAACGTTTTTTGAGTCTAATTTCTCTTTCAGACACTTCAGAATATTTATTTGTACTAAATGTTTACCCCAACCAATGAATGTTTCGTATGTCTTTTATACATAAATTTATCACTTAACCATGATTAGATGATAGATATTCTTATTTTAATTTTTTGTTAACTGAGATTAAAATAATTGATTGGGTGTAAATACCCGGTGTAAGATTTTATCGTTCAACCTCTGTTTCATTACTTTTCTTCTTCTTTTCTTACATTTATTTATTTATATATTTTTATGATGATGTTGAGAGGTTAGCAGTCAAGTTTTTTTCTAGTCTACTTGATTTTTTCTGGATATGACCAATGGAGACTATGGAGTCCATTCAGCATGTTGGTCAAGTATTTTATGTGACAACGAGATTATTGGAAGTTGATACAGAGTTGGGATTTTAAGTGCATTATTACTTTAGGAAAAAGTTAGTAAAAACTATTTTAATTCAGTCGTTGAATCAAAGGCCTCAATATTACAGCTAATTTTGAAGGTAATATGTGTATACGCCACCTTTCGATGGAGAAAAAGGTACCACGTCGAAAGGCCAGGACGTCGAATCCGGGGTCGAAGTTTTTTTCCATGATCGAGGTCGACATCACTAATCGAGGTCAGAAGGGGGTTTACTTCGAAATGATGCCGGTATGAGTCACTAACGAAGAGAGGCGAGATATCCGCAACGGACCAAAGATCGTGACGTGAATCTCAAAATTGATCGGTTTACAGCGGTTATTTAATTGTTAATATGATTTCCTTCTATAATTAAAAGTGTACCTTATTTAGGATTCCCCTATTATATAAAGGGGATCCTACTCATTTGTAATCATCATTATTCACTGAGAAGAATATATACACTCATTACTTTCTTGCTATTTCGCTTTACTGTTCTCTAGAGCTGTTTTATCATTTGTCATACATATTATCACACCTCGAGACTGTCAAAGGTCGAGGTCGAGAGTTGGCTTGCAGACCGATTTGATTCATTTTATTCTCTAATTTATCTATTTAATTCCTTGTGTAGCAATTGGTATTGGATTAAATTACATATCCTTAAAACCACAATATAAGTTTAATTGTTACTCGAATTTTAGGGTAAATAATTTGGCGCCCACAGTGCTGATTCTGATAATAGTGATTGTTCAGTGCTGATTCTGATAACATACATTATTTCACGCTTATTCTTGCTAAGTATTTTTGCTTTCAGGTTAAAACATGTCAAATCACAAAAGGCACCCGTACATGGTGACGATGGTCTCGGGTTTCATGCGGAAAACGACAATGTAATTGCAGCCGGGGTGCTACCGATTAACCTCGGGGGAGTACAGGTTGCCGATCTAGTCGATGTCAGTTCGCATGTCGCTTTAAATGCGGACTTAGGCACGGATCCCGAAGGGAGTGTGCGTAGGAAAGGTCGATCTGGTCGCCAAGGTACACAGGGCGTAGGAGATGGGGGAGTTAGTCTCCAGGTGATATTCGAGATGCTACAGGCTTAGCAGGTTGCTATTGCACAACTTCAAAATCAACATAAAACTTCGAGTAGGGTCGAGCCGAAAATTAATCACTGTACCGAGCCAGTACTAGAGAGGTCGAGTGGTAACAGATCAGGGACTGATCCTGCATTAATGAAGATGCTCGAGGAGCTCACCAAGAGAATCGAGTCAGGAGAGAAGAAAATAGAAGCTAATGACAAAAAAATGGAGACATACAACTCTCGAGTTGGTCAGATACCGAGGGCACCACCAATCTTGAAAGGGATGGATTCGAAGAAGTTTGTACAAAAGACGTCTCTTCAAAGTGCGGCTCCAAAGCATATTCCAAAGAAGTTTCGTATGCCAGAAATACCCAAATATAATGAGCCCACCGATCCCAATGAACATGTTACTTCATATACATGCGCCATCAAGGGTAACGATTTAAAAGATGATAAAATTAAATATGTGCTGTTGAAAAAGTTCGGAGAGACCCTTTCAAAGGGAGCAATAATTTGGTATCACAACCTGCTGCCAAATTCCATCTACTCATTTGACATGTTAGCGGATTCTTTTGTAAAAGCACACATCGGGGCCATAAAGGCCGCAACAAGAAAATCAAACCTTTTCAAGGTAAGACAAAGGGATAACGAAATGCTAAGGGAGTTCGTATCCTGATTCCAAATGGAACGCATGGAGTTACCACCGGTCACATATGATTGGGTCGTTCAAGATTTCACCCAAGGGTTGAACGAGCGGAGTTCTGTGGCATCACGTTAGTTGAAATAGACCTTGGTCAAGTATCCAGCTGTAACTTGGGAAGATGTGCACAATCGATATCAATCGAAGATCAGGGTCAAGGACAACCAATTAAGAGCTCCTTCCGGGTCAGTACATCCAAACAGATCGGCAGTTAAGACCCAGAGGGACATCGACAGAGAACCAAGATCAAACAGAGAACGATATCAACCATATACCGCAGATCTAAGGAACAATGGTCCGGGATGTAATTTCGCCCAAAATGATCGAAGAAGTGATTGATGACAGAATTCTCGCGGATTTATGAGCAAAAGTGGTTTTGAAAAGCATGCCGATCCCATATCGGAACATAACTTTAGCATCGACGTATCAAGCATTGTATCGACAATCGGAAGGATCAAAGATACTAGATGGCCCAGACCCATACAAACCAATCCTTCTCAAAGAAATCCAAATTTAATGTGCAAGTATCATAGAACGCATGGTCACAAGACCGAGGATTGCAGGCAATTAAGGGAGGAGGTAGCCCGTCTATTCAATGAGGGCCACCTTCGAGAGTTCCTCACCGATCGAACCAAGAATCATTTTAGAGACAGAGACACCAACAGGAAAAATGAATAGGAGGAACCTCAACATGTCATTCATATGATCGTCGGTGGGGTCGATATTCCACAAGGGCCCGTATTCAAATACACTAAGGTATCAATTACTAGGGAGAACAGTGTATGGGGAGCAACATGTTGTAGAGGAAATGTTTGCGGTCGATGATGTAACACTGGTATCGACGTTATTAACCTCAAAAAGATCAAACATCAAAGGTAAACAGGAAGTCGAATAGCAATCACAGCCATCAGCCTCGACCAAATCGGGGAAGTAGGAGATAGAAGAAGAAGAGGAGGATTTTCTGACCCCTCGAACCTTTATCGTTCCCGAGGATTCCGACACCACCAAATCAACGGTCGAAGAGCTGGAATAGGTTATATTGATCGACTTCCTGCCCAAGCGAAAGGTACACCTAGGAACGGGGTTAACCCCCAAACTTAGGAAAAATCTTATTCAATTTCTTATTGATAACATGAATTGTTTTGCTTGGTCCAATTTAGACATGACAGTGATCCCACCAGAGATATCAACGCATCGGCTAAGCTTGGACCCTAGGTTCAAACCGGTGAAGCAGAAGAGAAGACCACAGTCCGAGGTAAAGCACACATTCATAAAGGACGAGATAACGAAACTTCTCAAAATAGGGTCCATTCGGGAGGTAAAATGTCCTGAATGGTTAGCCAATGTAGTCATAATCCCTAAAAAGGAAACAAACATAGAATGTGCGTAGATTATAAATATTTAAATAAGACATGCTCCAAAGATTCTTTTTCACTGCCTAACATCGATCGCATGATCGACGCCACGACTGGCTATGAGATCCTTACCTTTCTCGATGCCTATTCTAGGTACAATCAAATTCAAATGATCCCGAAAGACCAGGAAAAGACTTCGTTTATCACCAAGTATGGAACATATTATTATAATGTAATGCCCTTCGGGCTAAAAAATGCAGGAGCCACTTACCAACGCCTAGTAAATAAGATGTTCGAAGAACAAATAGGCAAGTCAATGGAAGTTTATATTGATGACATGCTAATTAAGTCCCTGCGCGTAGATGACCACTTGGCTCATTTGCAAGAAACGTTCGAGATTTTGAGGAAATATAACATGAAACTCAACCCCGAGAAATGTGCTTTCGGGGCCGGTTCGAAAATACCTGGGCTTCATGGTGTCGAATTGGGGGATCGAGATCAACCCCGATAAAATCAAGGCCATCGAAGATATCACCATCATGGACAGTGTAAAAGCCATGTAGAGGCTGAATTGACGATAGCGGCTTTAGGCCGATTTATCTCGAGGTCGTCGGATCGAAGCCACAGATTTTTCTCACTACTCAAAAAGAAGAACAATTTTGCCTGGACCCTGGAATGCCAACAGGCATTAGAGGAATTAAAATGATACATGTCGAACCCACCACTGCTGCACACTCCAAAGGCAGATGAGAAACTTTATTTGTACTTGGCGGTATCGAAAATCACAGTAAGTGGTGTCCTAGTTTGAGAAGAGCTAGGTACGCAATTTCCCATTTATTATGTGAGTCGAACCTTAGGAGAAACAGAAACTAGATATCCACACTTAGAAAAATTGGCACTTGCACTAATAAGCGCATCTAGAAAGTTAAAACCACATTTTCAATGTCACCCCATATGTGTGTTAACCACTTAACCACTTTGTAATATTTTGCACAAGCCCAAACTATCGGGCTGATTGGCCAAATGGGTCGTCGAACTCAGTGGGTACCATATCGAATATCAACCCCAAACAGATCCTCTTACCCGAAGTTGAGAAGGAACTCTTGTTAAAATCAGGCACATCATCGAGGGTATGGAACCTTTTCACAGATGGTGCTTCGAATCTGAAGGGGTCCGGGCTAGGCATCGTTTTGAAGCCGCCCACGGGTAGCACTATTAGGCAGTCTATCAAAAATTCTAGGTTGACTAACAATGAGGCCGAGTACGAGGCCATGATTGGAGGTCTTGAGCTAGCTAAAGCTTGGGAGCAGAAGTCATTGATGCCAAGTGTGACTCTCTACTGGTGGTGAACCAAGTAAACAAAACCTTCAAAGTTCAAGAGGATAGAATGCAAAGGTATTTGGACAAGCTGCAAGTAACTTTTCACTGTTTCAAGGAATGGAATTTAAACCATGTACCTCGAGAACAAAACAGTGAGGCCGATGCACTTGCAAATTTGGGTTCATCGATCAAAGAAGATGAGATCGGTTTGAGGAGTGTCGTTCAACTTTC